GCAGCAGGCAGGACACTTTCAAATGGCTTTTTTTTTTTTTTTTTAACCCTAAAGTAGAAGGCTGGACCAGAAACCCCGTGGCCTTTCTGCAAGGTTATTTTAGATTCAGTATTGCAGCTAATGACATCCGGAGGAGCTGAAGCTTTGGTGCTGGGCATGGCTCACCTCGTGCATTTCAACCTGTGCGAGCCCTTGGTTACTCACAGCCATTTACAAACTGCCTGAAAACATTGGCTGGCTCGAAACTTTGGTCTTCCATCCACAAGAATGCCAAAATAAGTTTGTCCACTCTTCAAATTATAGGATTGTGTGGTTCTGTGGTTTTCTGTGGTAGAAGCTCTGTGGTTTCTTAAGCTATTTTGTGCACCTCTAACACAGAGTAGCTGTTAGGCTTTGCTTAAATTGAATTTTTGAAGCCAGAACCCCAAGCTCTAGCAATTTCTTTTGCTATATTTAGAAAAAAAACAACTACAACAAAGTCATGTAGCCATCACTATGGTGACCAGCAAAAAATTCATCCCAAACCCCATGTAATTTAGCAGGGAGAAATCCATCCCCATTGCTAGCATCCAAAACCTACTTGGTGGCATCTACAAAATTTAAAATTCCTGGGTGTCCTCGCTGCTCTCAGCTGGGTCTGTCCCAGGTCCTGCCTGTGCAGGACAATGCTCTGAATTTATGTCCTAAATGCTGAGAATGAAGAAATCAGAGTTTTGAACTCTGCAGCAGCTCCCCTGCCAGGGCCCAGGAGTTCTGACTCCTTATGTCACAAAGAAATATCTGGAATATCATTTTAGATATGATCTCCTGTGACATTTCATATATTAGGTGAATAACTACTGAGCCAGAGGCTTAAACACAAGAGAAAAAACCACACAAAAATATCCTCAGATCCCAACAACCACTTATTTACAGCCTGTGTAATGACAGCATGAGTTTTGTTATCTTAATGATTTTATATGTATATTATATTGCAAAATATGGGATACAGAATGCCTGGATGTCCTTTCTGTGGAAGCAAGGGCTTTTTCATTCTGAAAATTGTGATCAAGGACCTTAAATGGGAAGTTGAACAGCAGAAATACATTGTGTATGCTGCAGGCAGGGCCCTGTGAGATTTCACCAATTAGGAAGGCTGCAGCAATTTTACGAGACGCTGCATCAGCACCAATAAAAAGTTTTAATTGTGGTGATAACATTAAAAAAAAAAAAAAAAAAGGCAACCAGACAGGAGGGAAAAGGTTCTCAGAGTGACTACACTGGTAGTCACGTACAGCAGATGGGAGATTCAGCAATTTAGAGATAAAACCTGACAGAATTCCAAGGGGAGAGCTGGGCCTGGGATGTATTTCTAATAAATGCTACAGCTGTGTTTGAGGTTTCACAGTTGGGCTCAGACCTTGGGCAGCCTTTGGGGTGAAATTTCCACATCCTGAACAGAATGGTGATGCTTTTCTGCCCTTCCCAGGGAAGGGGCTCTTAGGCCATGCTGGGTACAGGGGTGTCCTTTCAGATAAAGCCCAGACAAGGAAAGAATTTGGAAAAGCACAGGGATGAGAGTGCTGTGTGTGTCAGACCCCAGAAACTCGAGTGGGACCAGCACATGGAGAGCGGGGTCATGGTTTTATGAGAGATGAGAAGCATGAAATGATGAAAACTGGGTAGGGATTGTGTCCATCTGTGACACACTGCACTCAAACCCTCCAAAATGTGAATGCACCAAAAATATTGCAGGGAAACCTGCTGCTGACTGAGCAGGTGAGAACAGCAGAAAGCAGGGAGAAGAATGAGTCAAAGTGAGTAAATGGAATAGCCCAGGGGTGAGGTGTGCTTTTCCAGCCAGCCAAAGGTTGTCTCTGTGATCTCCCCAGCCACTCCCAGTGCAAATTGCCAGGACATCCAGAATTGCTGCTTGGGCAGGTGTGGATTTGGATTTGAGCCTGGTCTGCTCAGCCTAAATCTGGCTGGGACAAGAAAGAAAGGGAAAGACAAGGAGGGAAAACAGTGCAGCCAACAGGAAAAACATTTCAGTGCAGAGAACAGAGCTGCTCCTCAAAGCAAGATTCACAATTGAACAGAAAAACTTGTGAAACTGTAGACAAAAAAAAAAAAAAAAAGGAAAGAAAGAGTGCTGAAATCTCAGAGCTCCAAAAAGTAACTTTCATTTATTATATTAAACAATAACATTTCTCTTATTATATTAAACAATATAACACATGAGATGGGTTAAAATTAAAATACCTTACAATTTGTTATAACATTTGAAAGATAAATATAACCACAATAATGTACATATTTGGAGATATTAGTCAGATTTAGGTCAACACTGCAGTTTCCACTTTGTGTTCCCACCTTTTCAGATCAGGCTGAAGAATGATTTATTAAAAGGGACACCAGAAGAGCACTCTGCACTTGCAACAGCAGAAGGAACCACAGTCACTAGGAGCTTTCCTTTGAAATTTAAAGGGAGAGGCAGAAGTTGGAAAAATGAAAATTCCACTTTATAACAAATTAGCCTTTATTTATAAAACTTTCAAGTAAAAAGAGCAGTATATCAACTGATCAAACAGGTGTGTCAATGAATTATAGCTAACATATTTGCTCTAAAAATAAATCTTCTATGATTCCATCATACTCCAAGCAAATTCCTCTCTAAGAAAAGATGGTTGTTGTGAAGTCTACATAGATGCAATATAAAACCAAATACAGAACCAAAAACCTGGCTGTTCCACTAGTATAGGAAGATAATTGAATTAGATCATTAACAGCAGAGATCAATTCACATCAACAGAGTTCCAGCTCTAAACGAGGATTAAGCAGAAATGAAATTCCTGAGAGGGAGGAAAAAATACAGAAGAAAGGAGAAATCAAACTCTTACACAGGGGGAAAGCAACAATTCTACTTGGACCAAAACTCCTTGGGCCACGGTTCTACAGAACAAATATTCTTCTCAATGGAGAAACACTAAAGAAGAAATAGTAACCCCAAAAGGATTATAAGAAGAATTCAAGAAAAGTGTGTGCTATCCTTGAGCATAAGATGACAAAACGATTTCTACAATAGTGCCAACAGGTTTCACAGAGGGGAATTAAAAATAAAAAGGCTTGCACAGACACAGCTTGGAACTTCCTACACTTTGAGAGCACAGTACATGGAAGAAGATACAGGAAGGACTGATGACCCTCACAGGGCAGAGGTGCCATGAAGAAAAAGTTGCCCATATAAAAATATTTCTTACAGCAATTATTGTGGAAGTCTGACTTTTATGAGCATCTGTTTTTATGGCAGGGTGACTGGGAGGTTTGAAGGTAACTCAGGGAAAGCACTGAAGGCAAATGTGAACACAGAGTTCTGTGAGGGGCAATGTGCTAATTCAATATCTGTGCCCTGTGTGCCCTGTCAGCGTGGGCAGGTTCAATGTGAATAACTGTCTGTCTGTCTGTCTGTCCTGTTTAACTGCTGTGCAATCCAGGGATTTCCATGAGTCCATCCAGTAGCATATATTCCATATAAAACATGTGTGCCACCATAAAACCCTGCCAAACTCTGATCACTGAATGTACCAATAATTCAATTCCAATAATTCATCTAAGTAAAAGAAGAATCACCCCCACTCTTTCCTCTCCATGCAAGGGATATTTGTTCCTCCTGATATAAAAACTTAGGTGGAAATGGAGGAAACACAGAACTGGAATCCAGATGACAACAAATTATGTGCAACCAATCTAACTGGAATGAAGCAAGAAAAACATGTTTTCCACCTTTGCCTGTGACTGTTTGGGGTGTGGGTATGGGAACAGCTCCCCACAAAGGATTTTTTCAAAAGGAAAAGAAAGGAAAGAGGGAAGAGGGAAACTATGAGCAAGAATAGAAGAAAACTCCCTGCCTCCACCCAGAGAAGAAAGATGACATGCAAGATCAGCAGCTGAACCTACATTCCAAACAGATACTTTAAAAACTACAAAGAATGTGAAATTACATCCAGTGCAGATAATTACTACTTTCTGCCAAGGTTCTCTTACACCTGGCACAGCTAATGAACACAGTTTTTCATGTCAATGAAAGAAATCTTCATACAAATTGATTAGAAATAATTTCTCCTCTTTTCTTTAACCAGGACTTTGAAACTCTCAGAGCCATGAGCTAATCTGAATTTCTGTAAAGATTCAATTCTGTATCCATCTGTGGTTACAGAATTCATACATCCACACAAGCTTTAATATATAGAATATATATGCATATTCTACATATTCACTGTATATACATATTTTATGTACAGCACAAGGAACTATATCCTGGACATAGCATGTGGACATGTATATACACACACTATGATTACATTATACAATATATATATATATATATATATATGTATATATACACATAGACACAAATAATATGGATCTCACTGTACACTGTATATGCACTGGGGGTTATTCACATTTTCCATATCTTACATTGTATGTATTTCCTCTGCCCAAATAGCAACAGGCCTGTTTGTGCTTTAATTTTCACTGGTCTGGAGGAAGAAGAGCAATGTCTTGCAATGAAGTTTTGCTTCAAAGAGCAAGTGCAGGTATTGTACAAACACTGAGTTACAGCACAGGGAAAGAATGTGGGGAATCTTCCTTTTTTTATATGGAAAACTGTATTAAATACAAAGTGAGAAATCACAGCTAGGTTTTCTTCTACTGCAGTGACAACATTTTGAGTCAAGAGTGTTTCAGTAAATGTAAGGTTCCTAAATCTAATACTGTGCATAGACAATATATTTATTGGGTTCTGTCCCTGTTCATTGGTTGATCTGCAGTTACTGCCCAAGCAAACATGAGGAAGAGTCAAAAAGGAAATACAAAAACGAGCCCTAACACTATACAGAATGCTGGATTAATTCACATTTCTGTCTCCCTGCTGGACATCTTGAAAATATCATTTCATTGGCCTAGAAGCATTATAAATTCAGTGTTCCAGGGCTCTGACAAAGCAGCAGAAAGTCTTGTTATGGAACAGAACTTCAAAAATGCATCAAGCTCTTTAGTCCTCCACCTGTCGCACTGGAGTGGCATCATCCCATCCAGAACTGGTATTAATTTCTAAATTTTATTGTGGCAGAAGGGACAGCACAAGGACTCGGGTCCAAGTGAACAGGAGGATCTTACACATGGGTACAGTCTGCAGAACTGCACTGAGAATCTTGCAGCCAATCTTGCTTTTGAAAATTGCTCTTTCACAGCAAAAGTTTTATCATGTTACCTAAAGACAAGTTAGCTCTCAGAGATTTCAAGTTCTATACACCAACAGAAGGGAGAATATTTTGTGTTTTAGTATGTTTGATCGAACATATATTAAGAGAAAAATTATTGCAATGGGAAGGGATATCAAATCAGGATCTTCAAAATTAGAAATAGCTTCTATTGCATCCCAAAGGGCTCATTAAAGGACACTATTAAAGACCATTATATGGTTGGTTTTGGTATTAGAAATAAATCTTTTTACATTATTTGTAGTACCATTAGCACAGGAGACACAGACAGGAACATCCCAAACAGGAACAGATGTGTCTGCACACCCACCTCCCCACCAGAGCCTGAGGCTGCAAATGCCACAAATGTCCTGGCTGCATTTCAGAGCTGAAAGCTAAAAAAGATCCAGTCTGACTCCTCTGTGTCAGGAAAGCATCCAGGATAAGGCAAATCCCACCTGAGCAGGGAAACACTGATTTCATTCACTGAGCAGGCACTATCATTGCAGTACGAAAATAAAAGGAAGGAAGCAAGGACATAAAAAATAGAAATGCATTGAAGATGATGAAGGAATTATCACATTAAAAAAAAAAAAAAAAAAAGAGAAAATGTTGTAAGACAAGGGCCACATCAGTAAGAATGTAAAGCTTTTGTATTCCCAGAGAACAAAGGGCAGGAAAGGAGACTGAGGACATTTAAAAATGCTGTGCTAGACCCCTACTCTACCAGACAGAAAATTCCAAGGCAAACACAACTGAAGTTTTAGAATTCCTGTAATCAGAAAAGGCATTTCTAGGAAGCAAATTAAATTCACAGACTTATTTTTTCTATGACACGTCCAACACATTCTGTGCTGTGTTTTCCAGGTGGAAGCATTCAGTGCATGTAAAACCTGCTCCTACCTGGTCTGAGTCCTGCAAACTGAATTTTAGAGGCAGCCCAGGCAGTGCTGCCAGAGCTGATGCGTGAATGTGCATTTGGCAACTAAAATCTGATTTAACTTGGCTTCATTTCAGCTAAAGCTGCTTGATCTGTAAGCCCAAACAGGTGGAATTGAAGAAGCAGAGGTAGAGACTGTCCCAGGAGTAAATGAGGGTGCAATGAGGAGTAAATGAGGTTACAACGAGGAGTAAATGAGGGTACAACGAGGAGTAAATGAGGGTGCAATGAGGAGTAAATGAGGGTGCAATGAGGAGTGAATGGGGGTACAGTGAGTGCTCCTCAAACATGGCAACTTTTCCACCCCTTCATTTCTTGATGTCACATCAAAGCAGCACCCAAATGTGTCGCCACCTTGCAATCCTGTTTGCTTACACCAAAGCAAATTTTTACCTCATCATTTAACTGCTAAATTATTTATCCCATTTACGGAATTAATTCCCACTTTTAGTTGTATATAATTATTAAAACTCGATGCAAACAAAGTTTAAATTAGAACTGCTAATTTCTAGAGTCTTCAAATTTGTACTGTTTTATAGAGTTCACTGTATCCATCATCTATCAATTGTCAGATTCTTTTGCAAAAGCCACAACTTCTGGATAAAAATACCAATGAATTTATGCTTTGACATAGATGATGCAGAAGTACTGATTAGCCTGCCATGAATTATTAAATAAATGTAACAAGTGAAAGCTAATTCTATAAATATTCTCTTTTTATGACATTTTCTTTTAAATCCATACTGCAGCCTCAAAGACCCAGTGGAATTCAGGTTATATAAAATAAAAATAAAAAAAAAAAAAACAGATCCACAAGCTGCAGTTTACTCTATGCAACATTTGTGTTTCAGATAAAGAAACTTTCAGTACCTTAGGATTACACATGAAATTTCTTACAAGCAATAAATTTGATCTAGAACATATAATACAGCTTATACAGTGATTCCTGCAGGTTATGCACTTGGAGAAGCCACAGAGCCGGCTCAGACACCACCAGCCCAGCCCTGCTTAGATCCGAAGGTGACTTAAATCATTCTCACAAATATAAACCAAGGGTTTAGTATTTTTATAAAAGCTTTGTTCCAAGGTTTCTCTTGAAGAGGGTGGAGGCCAGGACCCTCTTTAAGAGTTTGGCATGTCAGCCTTACTGAGTGCAATGGCCAACTCAAGGTCTTCCTGCTCCTGTCTCCTCAGCCGAGCCAGTCTCTCCTGCTCTGCTTTCTCACTCTCTCTCTTCGCCCAGGCCAGCTGCTGCTCCTCATTTCCAAACTGCAAAACCAAAATGGAAAATGAATTAATAAAGTCACCAACCGGCTCGAAGAAATTATGCAAAAAAACAACACAAAGAATCAGAGTTATTGGATACACAGCTCGACTACACCAGGCTGTCTCAGGGCAGTTCTAGATTGACACAGAAATTCACTCGCTGGTGTCTTCAATTCATCCTTTATTTCCTTAATTTCTTCCTCCTTTGATTTATTTCCTTAATTCCTCTTTCTTTTCCTTCCTTAGTTTATTTCCTTAGTTACCCACCTGGAAATTAACCCACATGGGATGCAAGTCTGCATCTGTGGCTCAGCTGGGTTTGAAAACTGCCCAAAAAACCCTCCAGAAGCACAAAAAAAAGGAAGTTAATGGTTTGGAAGCACAGCAACTACAACCATTTTAAAGAATAAATAGCTGGTAAAGCTAATAGTTATTTATTCTTGTGCACAACAGAGAGTTTTATTGTGGTAGTTTCTGCTAAAAGGAAGGGTTTGAGGAGTGATTTTGGACACTGCTGACGTGTGGGATTTTCATTTTCATTTTCATCACCAAATCAAAAATTAACCAAAGTGCTTCTGCTGTTCTTCATAAAATACACAGAGTTTTGCCAATAAAAAATAATGTGAGAGAATCCAATTTACTCCAGCAGAGAACACGAAGAAAATATCACATTTTATAACATTCAGCTCCTAAACCTGTTTGGGCTCCCCCAAACACAAGTGCAACGCAGCAGAACTTGTCCAAACTGATATTCCAGTATTTACCACTGAAGGATGTAAAGTTTGCTTGTTTGAACTTTTTGAACAAAATCTGAATTATTTCATTGAAATCATAGCAATTTCTCAATCAAATATAATCTGTTCCCAGCTAATTTTAGCATTTGCTGAGGAGGAGGAGGATGGGAACAGCGGCATGCAAATATTTGCATTTAAAGCCCACTTCTAAAATCTGCTTTTTGGGTTTTGTTTTGGGGATTATTTTTTTTTTTAATGTGTGTGTGCAGGAAAACATATTATTTGAGGGGTTTTTGAGGAGAAAAATTCCAGCTGGCTGAATTCTGCAGAAATTCCCTGTGGCCCAGGACACAGTGACTCTGAGACACCTGCCTAGACCAACCTGAAATATTGAATTGAGGGCTAAAATTCAAATTTCAGTGCTAAACCCTGCCCAGCTGCACAAACACTGCCAAGGTCCCACCCCAGCCTCCTCCTCCACTCCACAGTGTATCTGTAATTTCTATTTTTTTATATCTTTTGAAATAAATCCGCCTATTTGAATTTCTTTTAACCCAAACCCAACTCTCATTTGCTCATAATTTAATCACGCCTCTGGATGCCCATCATTCTTCATTCTTTTTCTCCCATTATGACTTTAGAGATGATTTGATGCAAAAAAACCCCACTTTTCTTCATGCAATATCTCTGCTTTCATTGCTATAAAAATTTAGATGAGAATCTTTGCATTTGATGTTACTGAAATAGCATAGAAGTGTAACACCTTTTGAGGTTTTAATTTTAAAATTGAGAGATCTTTCTACACTCCTCATTTAAATAATGATTATTAAATTATATATAATTTATATATATATATAAATATATATATATATAATATATTTATATATATATATAATATAAATTAAAAAGCTCATTAAGATTTAAAATAATTTTTTTTTTCAAGGTAAAGACAGATACAAATGGAAGCAGGAATCCTCTGCTTAGTCCAGGAATTGAGGCAGATCCAGCAGCTGGGATGGAAAATGAGTGGTTACTATTTTCAGAAATATAAGACATTTTGGTCAAACTATTTGGGATTTTTTTTTTTCATGTTTTTTCAAGTTTTACTGCTAAGGCTTCCATTCTAGGATAAGGCTTCCAAAGTTTATGAGAGTCCCAGTTATAACTTGTTTATTGGACACAAGTTATATTTTTGCAGTTAAAAGGGCCGAGTGGAAAAAGAAAAAGGAAAAAATAGGCAAGTGATTCATTGGAAACAAATCTGGATGTGCCTTATTACAAGTGGTTGGCACAAAGTACAATTTTCAGGAGATAACTCTCACCATTGAGCAGTGAAATAAATACAGAACAGTTCATTAATGCTACAGATTGTCTGTAAAAAGGTAATTTACAGGTAATTTAACACAATAACAATTTTTTGCATATGTCCAGGTTTCAGCAAGTCTATAAATATGTGTCACATGTGTAATTACATTAAATCCTTCCTTTCCATTTCTTTTTCAGATGTACAGCCAGACCCAAGGCATAGATTAAATCAACTGTAGCAAGAATAATCAAATCACAAAAACTCCACTGATTTGTGTGTACTGGATTTCCAGCTTAGTGCTAAGTGTTCTGTTTCTTGGCAAAAAGAAAAACAAAAAAAAGGTTTTTCTTGTTCTGTAAACTGCAGCTGGAACCCAGAAATACCTGAAATCTGAGCTACCAAAAGAGTGTTTTGTTCCAATGAATCATATTTAATGACAGCAACAAAGTTAAGGATGCAATGAAAATATACATAAACTGTGGGTGCATGGATTTGCCAGTGTGTCAAAAAAGCAGCAGATTTTTCCTACTAAAAAATAATGAAGGTTCTCATGTTCTTTCTTGGAACAGTAAAAGGATTTCAATTAAAAATCAGGTTGTTTGATTATTCAGTTCTACACGATTTTGTTCTCAGATCCCATGGATTCAAAGTAGGTGTCAAAAACCATCTGTAAGAAAAACTGATTTGCGTTTCCATTATGAACAAAGTTTCCCAACCATGAGGCAAAGAGAAGCTCAATATTCTCAATCATTTCAAGGTGACTGGCACATTTCAAATACTGTCCAGAAGGATTAGGAATTGTCAAGTGTAGCAGCATAATTGTGTCATAGAAAAGGAAAAAAACCCATGAACTGAGGGGAAAAGGGATCAAATCTGTCTTTTCAGCCAAATTCAGTCAACATTTCTTTTTATTTTTCCTACAGGAGGAGAAATTAATTCAGAAAACTGATTTTAAAATGATTTCATTTGATGAAATTTAACAGGAATTATTAAGCGGCTGCTGCTCATTATCTCATTTTTCCTACTTCTTCCTTATCTTCTAAAGTTAATCTGAGCTGAGAACGTGATGGCACAGCAAATTTGACCCTGGAGCACCCACCAGGATTGGGATCAGAGATTTTGGTTAATCATTTGATACAATCACTCAGAGGAAACCACGTTTTAAGAAACAGAGTCTGGAAAGTAAGATGATAACTGGGTGAGAGTCATTCCATTCCATCATTTGTCTTTGATTGCAGGAAGAAATTAGATGTTGTTGAAGAAACTTCAGATAAAGCAGGTTTTGTGTCTTATTTTTATTAAGAATGTCACCAGTTTGTATACAATCAGAATTTAACTGTGCAAATCCAACTAGCTGTGGTCAAACATACAACAAATCTCGAACTTGGACGTTCCAAAAGTGATAAATTAAAGCCCTGAGGCCAACTAAAGTCTGCACAAGTGACCTCAGCTAACAATATCAAATAGGAAAAGTGATACACATTTAATATTAAATAATAACTAGGAAAAAAAAAGAAAAACCCAAAACATTAAAAAGAAACAACCTGAAAGATTCAGCTTAAATATCTCCCCTTGCTGAGCACTGCCCTGTGTCCAGCAGAGTTAAGGAATAGAATAAATTGGATTTTACTGCGTGGCAATGTGAGGAAACAAAAACATGTGAAAGGAGGAAGAAGCCTGAGGCTGTGGATGGAACAGATCCCATCCACTCATGGAAGCAACAAGAACCACACTGCACTCACAGTTATTCCCAATTCCAGCACTAAAACCAAAGCCAGGCTGTGGAAACCCCAGCATTTTTAATGGAATGTTTAATGGGGACCTGGCTTTGTTTTCTGGAGTGCAGTGTGGACCCTTCTACCTTGGTTCTACAAAACCATTTCGTTTTCTCTCTCTTTTCTACAACATCAGTAACAGGAACAAAATTCAACAGCTAAATTTTCAATTTCTGTCTCAATTTCTTGTGTCTCTCTATTGACCACATTCCATCATATACAGCAAATGTCAGAATTTTCTCCACAAACAGTTACAAGTACTTATCAGAAACTTTCTCTTCAAGGATTTGCTTCTCAGGATATGGTGAAATTGCTAGAGAAATGTTCAATATCAATTGGCTTTGAGTCTTTACATCATTGGCTCCCAAAAATCCATTTACAAAATAGCCTCCATGCAACAAAAAACAATACACAGATTCTGCTACAAAGAATTGGAGAGTAAAGGCACACTGTACTAAAATAATTTAAAATGCAAGTAAACCCTTGAAAATTTAGTAGGAAAACTTCTTTTTTATTGAAATAACGCCTTTTTATTACAGAAATATTAATACAAAAACAATGAGGACAGCATGAAGGTACTGAGAGACAGAAGCCAGGGAACAGTAGGTTTGCAGGTAAGACAAAAAACCCAACAGAGATTGCTGCAAGCAGAGCAGAAAGTGGTTTGCTCAGAGACAAGGAACTTAACTTACAGAGCTGAAGTCTGCAAACCCCAAGGAAGAGTCTTTAGAAGTTTTACTTGAAGAGGAGGGAGCAAATGGATCTTTTCCACTAAATGGGTCCCCAAACCCCTTTTTACTTTGAAACAGGTCACTGCTGTCAGCCCCAAATGGCTGGAATGGATCATGGGGCTTGGGAAAATCTGCAGACCCAAGGTGGCTGACAGGAGTACTTTTACCTGGAAAGTTTAGGAAAACAAAAAACAAAAACAAAAGGAGAAAAAGAGAAGTTACTTACCATGGACAATGCAAAGCCCTGAAATAGGAAATTGTACTGATACACTTAAGCATCATCCATCCTTCCTGGGGTGGGTGAAAATTTAACCCAATTTAATGGTATTCATTTCTCAGTGCAAATCATCTAAAACAGTTGTTTTATTTAAGTGGATTTATCTATTTATACATCCCAAAATATTAATACCATCAAGATTTTAAATGATGAAACCCATTATAAAGACATTTGGTCAGAAAAAAATTGACAAGTATGACTTTGATTTTCCAGGATTAGAGATATTTTAAGTTTAAGCTTGATATTATATAGAAGACAAAGTTAAGAACTATGTATCTCTAAAGATAAGTAAGGTTAAATAGGATTGAAGAGTAACTTAGCTGTCACTTTACAGAATGCCTGCATTCTGCTTTTTTCCTGGAATTGGTTCATCCTTCTACCACCATGTACACAAAGAAAAGGAGGCAAATTCACCTCTTTCTGGGGTGTTTGCTCCACAACCCACCTTTTGTAGGTGACTGTTCTTATATTCCACCCCAACAACAAATGACATCACAGGAATTATTGTGTATGCTCATAAATATTATGTGTATACTTAATTTGTTACAATACGTACAACTTTCTGCATAAAAACCTGAATTTCATACATTATTTGTAGCAATAGAGCTGCTTTGAAATATCCGATTATTTGAACTGTAATTCAATAGGAATCTTATCATTCATTCCCATTATGAGATACATACTAGGAAAGCACAGAGAAATGGAATCAAACCCCAAATTTCAGAGTGTTCTTGGTACATCTCAGTCCTAACCTGGGAGCTTTGGTAGGTACGTGCTCATTAATTTCAGAATATATGCTCAGATGTGTGGAAACACTTTTATCAAAGGGAAATAAAGATCAGCAAACTTGCACTGAATAAATGACTTATCCAGTAAATCCCAGCTCAGTCTCTGCTGCCCCAGGGCCAGCCAAAAGCCAAAAGCCAAAATCCATCCTCCCTCTACTCCCCAAAGTCAGAGGCACGTGTGGGCAGGGGGCTGAGGGAATTGGGAATCCAGGGAGCTGAGG